TTTCACAAATACACAAATGACATCAGTATGTGAATCCAACAGTGTGCAAATATCATATATGACCAGCATAACGCAGTTAGTGAGAGTTGACAATTGATGATGGCAGTCAGAAAGCTTGACAGGACTTTTAACAAACTGTACACGCGTGCGTCCCTGCTGCATGAGAGGCTGAGGCAGGGCTCTTACCTGCGCAGTGTCAGGTTGTGTCGAGGGGTCAGTCTGGATCTGTGCTGGTTTTCTCTCTGAGCAGGATTTGGGGGCTCTGGCCAAACGGAGGGCTGTCAGAGCGATGGCCAGCTATTAGTCTGTCGGCTTTCACTGGCATGCAGTTATAAATAGCACTGATCGCACACACAAACAGCCATACGTTGACACTTTTGAGTGTGACGGAGACAGCAGGTGTCTGCTCTGGTTATGACTTCACTGTGTTTGTACAGTTCATTCATTCTTAGGTTTCAATTCGGTCAACTAAGGTTTGGTTAACATGGTCAATGGCCTAGTTTCTACTGTGAATGAGTGTAATATGATTTGCATAGTCATTTGTAATCTACTAATCAAAACTGAGGCACTATATGCAGAAATATAACTTGATGTGACAGATGACTAATTGTATTGTGTATATGAAGTTAGATGGTTTTGTCCAGGATTCTAACACCCTCATTTCCTTCATCCTTCCCATAAAGCACAAATAAAAATGTCACTCCCAGATACAGTAATGTGTCATGTGATGTGTCTTAATCAATCATTACACCGAAGATGTGAGGAAATACTTTTACAGTGTGATCACTGGTATCTTTGGACTTTTACAAGCATATCCGTGGTATTATAGTATGGGCCTACTACTATAAATAATAAAATATATTCCTAATTTATGTATATTATTATGTGGACTTATTTATATAAGGCTGTAATGCAATTTAACTCACACTATAATATCCTCCAGCATATATATCCCAAAAGGCAGATTCATTGCAGAAGCCTATTTTGAACAGGGTTCAGTCTTCAATGTCAGCTGGTACATGTATATATTTAAGAAATATTTACACACACACATATATATATAGTATATGTATTCATATTTATACATGATTTATATTATATATATATATATATATATATATATATATATTTCTTAAATACTGTTTACATGTACAGTATGTGCACACTATAATATCCTCCAGCATATATATCCCAAAAGGCAGATTCATTGCAGAAGCCTATTTTGAACAGGGTTCAGTCTTCAATGTCAGCTGCCACATAGTTCAGTTGTATGTCAAGTACGAGCTCAGGAGTCGAGCCAAGCCTCGCAAACCATTATATAACAAGACAGCAACTTGTTACAGACGGTTGGGCTGAAAATGACTCTCCCTCAGGCTTGATTTCTCACAAAATATGCGGCGTGCTCGAGTTTTTTACTCCAGAAACTTCCCAAAGAATTCAAAAAACAACTACAGCAGAGAGCGCTTTTTAACGTTACTTTAATACAAGTGCAAAGCACGGTTTTATGTCAGCCACATACAGAAAGGGGAGCTGTAGAAAGTATAAATCAGTACTGAACACCTCTCTGATGCACTTGACAGTTCAACAAATCTTTTTGTATGTTGATCAACAATTTATAAATCAAACACGTCCAACTGATAACCTTCTCATAGAAAACTTCAGTAATGGAATAAAGAAATAGAAGTATGAATGTGTATTTATATATACATATAAATATACACAGCACACACACATACAATATGTAAACACAAACTTTTATTTTGGTTGCGATTTATCAATTGGACTGCCCTAAATTTCAAGTATATTTTTTTCCCGAAACTTTTTACAAGTATGCTAAAGTGTACTTCTTTTACACAAGGGGATGCATATTCACTGATCAAAATTAGTGATTGTTGTAAGTGTGAGTTTCAAAATCAAGCTGTAACACTCTGTATACCGAACATAGATAAAATGATCTTCATTAACTCAATTTCCGACTTTCATGGACCTTCATTCTGAAATATCAACTTGTCTTTGTTTCTTTTATGTTCAGTACTAGCCATAATAATTTTACTTTACTCACTTTCCAGCAAAATTCATTCCCATTTGATTTCACTTTCACTTACATATAAAGGGTTTCCCGGCTCTCCTTCAGCGTCTCCATGTACTGCTATCTTTGGCTTTATAGAATCTCAGTCTATGAGGCCCCATTTCCTTCGGATCACCCTGTGAAGGCCTGAGATTAGCCTCCGTCATTGACCTTTGGGGTTGACACTGTCTAAAGGGTGACCCGTATGGGACGGGACCAGCTGGTGCTGATGCTGTGCTCTTGGTTGGGGACAGAAAAGTCAAAGATGATTGACTTAAACTGTTTTTTTGGTTTTTGGGCGATTCATACGCAACCTTTGCCTTCCACTCGGCTGGAGGCTTGGGTAAGAGCTTACTCTGAGCGGCATAGCGCAGGTTCGAGGCAATAGACTGCTGAATGTCCAGAAATGTAAAGGCTTCATCCACGAGCCCCAGTGGGTGGCGTGAGGCAGCTTCCCAAGGGGTGGGCTGGGCTGAAAATGACTCTCCCTCAGGCTTGATTTCTCACAAAATATGCGGCGTGCTCGAGATTTTTACTCCAGAAACTTCCCAAAGAATTCAAAATACAACTACAGCAGAGAGCGCTTTTTAACATGTTACTTTAATACAAGTGCAAAGCACGGTTTTATGTCACCCACATACAGAAAGTGGAGCTGTAGAAAGTATAAATCAGACAAGTCACTTAATACTGAACACCTCTCTGATGCAACAAATCTTTTTGTATGTTGATCAACAATTTATAAATCAAACACGTCCAACTGATAACCTTCTCATAGAAAACTTCAGTAATGGAATAAAGAAATAGAAGTATGAACAACTCAGATATAGTAGAAATTAACATCATTTTTAAGTGGAAAGAGAGAATGCATTGTCACATATGAAACCTCAAAGACAAAAAAGTGACGGCATTCACAGCTTGCAAGGAATGTTTAGTTATTTATGCATTTATGAATTTAAGAGCAAAACGGAGATTGAATTTGTTTAAGTGAATCTGGTGCAACGGGGCATGTGGTGAAGGGTCAGGCCGGGTCACTGAAGAATGATTTCATCTTTTAAAGTGAAGCTTATGTAACAAGTACGGCTGTTACTGATTCAACAGTTTCTGCTTAATAGCTTTGAAGCACACAAACAAAATTAGTTTTTTTCCTCTCTCTCTCTAATTTTAGAACAAACAACTGATACTGATTCTAGTTGTCATCACTACAATCGAAACAATCCTCATTATTGAATTATTTTAATGCAGTAATTTAAAATTTGCAGTTAATTTGCAATTAAATATGCTGAACAGTCTCACGCTAGCATTTACATTACATCCTATGAAGATCTATAATGTTCTGTTATTTCTTTAGCATGTATTTAGTATCATGCACAGTGGGTGGCGTGAGGCAGCTTCCCAAGGGGTGGGCGGCTTGTGACCCCTGTCTTTCCGGGCGGTCTGTCCCACAGGTGGCCGAACGGAAGCGATTTGGGATGCAGGTCTGGGTGATGGAGAAGCTGAAACCGACCTGGGGTTGAAAACCGCTGCTGAAAGTCTGACCGGTGGTGACAAGGATGAACTCCTAAGTGCCTGAAATGAGCAAACGCATTAATTTGAAACAGTGGCGATAAACAATCATTGCTGCAAAACTTTTATCAGAGATAGAAAGGATCACTGATATGTGTGCAAGTGTACAAAGACAATTTTCCACCAGGGTTCCACAAAGAATGAACCGAGTGGCACTAAACAAGAAGGGTTGTGCTGCCACCAACTGGTTATGATATGAACTTGCAGGGCACTTACTACTACAATTCATTTGATGAATCAGACTTTGCAGGATGAGTAATATTAGCATTTTTTATAACTATCTAGGATCTTTTGCTTTTTCGCAAAAACAAACAATGTGACGTTATGAGCTAAAAAAATATGGAATACTCTATTGATAACAATAATTTTAGTGAATTTGTAGTATGTTTGTAGTAGTAGGTTGGAAAAAAAATCAAGTTGACTAAGACTAAAATATGTATTATATGTATTTAAAAATGGATAAATGTATTTATTTTGTACAATAAAAATTATATGTATTGTTTTAAGAAGCCAGTATTGCTAATATGTTAAATAAATAAGTTTCATTATTTACATTTTTAATACCAGTAATGACTTAGTATTGACAAATATGAGTGTCATGCAGATGTTGCATATTTTTCATTTTGTCGCTGATGTTTTATAAAAAAAAAACATATATGAATCAGTCTAAAGTGATATAAAAGTGACAGGTGCTGTAAAGCGAAGTGCTCTCCTCTCCCGCATTTCAAATCATGGGACCAGAGATCACATTTCTCCAAATATAGCTCCTGGAGCAGGCCTTGCAGGGCATTCATTCATATCATTTCCACTTTTCCCCAATTATGAAGTATGTCTTACTTAGCTCCTGAATAGTATGATGCAGCACAGGCCCACATTTAGAACAATAGCCTACTCATACTCCAGCTTGCCTTTAGGCATTCTTATTTTAGGCTTACAAAAGATATATATTTTCCATGCAGACAATAATTACTCTCATGCATATACTATTTTTGAAAGTAGGACCGAATAGAATGTAAATAATAACAGAAAATATACTGTAATTTCATATGCACCTACTAAAATATATGGATTCATGCAATCTAAAATGACCTGGTGTTAAATGCTTTTTATTAGGAGAGACTGAGGGCAATTGTAAAACTTTTTTTTTTCAATCACAGATAACCGCATTTACTTATAAGTAACTGTATTTACTGTAAATACTAACTGTATTTGCTGACTGTATCTATTTATGAATAATGATAGTTGTTATTTTACTTACCTTATTTAACTGACAAGGAATCTACTACTAAAAGATAAGGAATAGGATTTTCAAAAGGAATATGAAAGCAGAGAATAGTGAGAGGTGCAAAGAAAAAATGCTTGTAAATGATTGTAAAGATGGAAGCGAGTGAAGTACATGCAAAAGCAAACAAACAAAACTGAAGACAGTAACTTTAATGGCACTGTGGTACATTTTACAAATAGTGTACTATGAAGAAAACATCACACAAAGAAATGAACAAAAGACAGCAAAAAAGAACGGAAGACTAAAAATTAACTTGCTGACTTCCTATATCTGTTTTATTTGATGTTCTTTCTAGTAGAACTGAAAAAAACCCCTGAACATTAATTTCTCCCTCAAAAAATAAACAAGAAATTACACAAAATCTACTTATTTTCATAAAACGTAAAAATGAAGAGCTCTCAAGCTATGTACCAGCTGTTAAACATTAAAATATGGACACTATTCAACCTACTTGAAAAAACCTCACATACTGAGTACATTCATTTCTTCTGTTATGAAGAAAGTCTGAAACATTAATTACAATTTAGAAATATAGCAATGTTTTTTTTTTTCCCTCAGAAAGTGAGAGTTGATTGAACTTCACTACATAAAATAGCCACCATAATACATTCTATCTCTGTGTTATATAGTATCTTCTTGCACCGTTGGCTCTGCCAGAAATGGTTAATACACTGTTTACTTGCATATTCCAACTATCATTGTACTGTTCATATATTTATTTCTGTCTGTCCACTGAATTGTATTATCATATACTTGCTTGTATGAAATGTGATACTTCATAAGCCCTTTGGAAGTCATGTTAAGCTTTTATACATTTTAAATATGATTATATATCGTTGGTTTGGTTTTAAGGATTATATCCTTAAGTACTATTGCAAATCAAGTTACTCAGTAGCCCTCATAACAGACCATTATGCCTCTCTGTCACTTTTTCACATCAAAATATTCCCCTCATTATTAAGCATTCGTTTCTCTTCTCGAACTCAATCAACACTGATTCCCTTTGACCAAAATTAAGTCTAAGCTAAGTACAAGCTTGTCTTACCTGTAGCAGGCCATGCCTTTAAAAACATATTTGTATAAAGGACTTGGCAGAGAATTCTTCTGTAAAAAAAAACCCCCATGTGATGTTATTCTGAAATGTGTATGCCCTCTTCTTTTCTGTTCTGGCAGATTTTAAAAGTCTGTTGTAACAGTATTTCTGTTTGGAAGTATGTTTCTGCTCTATATAAAGTATCTGCACCATAGCTTAGTTGTCCTAAGGTAACAACACTGGAAAAAAAGCACTATAACATAACTATTTTTCAGGAGTGCTTGGCTTCCACACCTGGGCAGCACTCTTCTTGGCTGAAAATTTGGGCTTTGGAGCAGCAATAATACTGCCTCCTGAGGCAGAGTCAGCCCTTGCTGCTACTGGGTAAGATGGCACAACATAAGAACTAGGGGCTGGTTGGTAAGCCAGGGCAGGTCCAGCTTGATATACTGGATTAGGACCTGTCTGATAGGAGGGTGGGGAGGGCTGTTGGTACGGAGGGCTTGGTGCTTGTTGGTAGGGATTTAAAGGAGGTTGTTGGTAAGCTTGTTGGGGGATGCATTCTTGTTGATATGGGACCTGTTGAGAATGTGGTTGATAATTATTAAGAGCAGGCTGATATGTATTAGGAGGTGCTTGGTGGTAAAGGCCATCATGCATAGGTGACTGACCAGCCATCCCGTAGGGTTGCTGGGCCTGTTGTGGCATAAAACCATAAGGGGGAGGACTTTGGTTATATGCCATTTGCTGGTTTTGATTTGGAGGACCTAGTGCTTGGGCTTGAATTTGGGCCTGGGCCTGAGCTTGAGCTTGAGCCTCAGCTTCAGCTGCTTTTTGAGCAGCAAGCTTTTCAGCTGCCTCCTTTTCTGCAGCAAGTTTTTTTGCTGCTGGGCCATAGGTAAAAAGGGAGGAATTCAGCTGATAGGGCTGATGCTTCATGACATCAAGAACATGAAGAGGTTTTGGGGCAGGTTTTTGCTTGTCTTTGTTTTTGTTCTTGTTTGCTGTTGAAGGGCTAGAAGGGGGAGGCTGCTTGATAGCACCCGGTGGATATGATGGTGAATGAATTGGATTATATGCCAATGGTGGGGGAGCCCTGCAATTGAGTGAATATTTCCAGGAATGTGGCAAAGAAGGAGAAGGTGAAGATGGTCTTGCCTTATTCGACTGCACTGTGGTAGAATCCACAATGTACTTCTCCATTCTGGATTGCCTCTTGGCGAACAGTTCAGCTCCTTTCCCTCTCAAGGCCGGCATCTCAAATGCTGAACCAAAACCAGAGAGTGACATAGTACTACTTGTTGGAAC